GAGGGGGAGGAGGGGGAGACGAAGAAGGCGAAGAAGGCAAAGGCGACAACGAAGACGACGGAGGAGGAGACGGAGGAGGAGGAGACAGAGACAGAGACGGAGAAGACGACGAAGAAGAAGGGGCTCCTGGGTGGCTCAGTGGATTAAGCGACTGACTTCTGCTCAGGTCATGATCTCACAGGTCGTGGGTTTCAGACCTGCATCAGGCTCTATGCTGGCAGCTCCAAGCATGGAGGCTCCTTCAGATTGTGTGCTTCCCTCTGTCAACCTCTCCCCCTCTTGCACTCTGCCTATCTCTCAAAACTAAATAAACGTTAAAAAACAAAAAAGGAAAAGAAAAGAGAAACTATTAGTAGTATCTTTCAAAAACCCATCTTAGGGCACCTAGCTGGCTCAGTTGTTGAGCATGCAACTCTTAATCTCAGGGTCCTGAGTTCAAACCCCACACTGATGTGAAGCCTACTTAAAATAACAAAATTAAAATAAAAGTCTATTAAAAAATAAAACTATAGAGTTTTATTATTATTATATTTATAATTATTCTACAATTACTTGCCTCCTGCTTGACAACATAAAGTTTCTTCGAAGGTTCAAATGGAAGTTCTTTTACTATATTCTCTTCAACTATAAGGTGAGTGCATCTTTCATCTCCAACAGGTAAACAGTTACCTCCTAAAAAGAAATGCATACAAGCAAAAATAAGCTTAACTATTTATCTCCAAACCTGAATTTGTAGAGAGGCATATTCACCAGGAGGGAATTAAGCAAGAGTGGGGAAGAAAATACAAAAATATAACTTTTAAATTATACTAAATTCTACCTTGCATCTCAGTCATTTCTTCCATATTGGTTTTTTCTTCATCTGAAAATCCCAGGAAACTTAAAATGCAATCTTGAAATGGAGGAACTTTAAATTCATTTCTGAAGTCATCAACTGATGCACAGAAATCCCTAAAAACAAAATATACTGTTCTAAAACCAGCTTAACTTAAATGTGAATTTATAAATCTATACTAATTCTTAAAGTTTTAGTGTAATCCATATGTCAAAAATATTTTACATGTGGTCCTGAAATGTTCATAAAAACATCAGTTAAAAAAAAAAACAACAAATTGATGTGTTCTCAGTCATTTCAGAGTAACTTCTGACAAAATTTGATCACGAGTAGTCTTTACAAGATTCAACTCACTGCTTTGGACATGAAATTTTCTGTGTTCCAGGGGTTTACTATGGTTTCATGAAATGTTAAATAATGATGAAGTAGAATAGCAAGGAATTACGAGGTCAGAGAGCTTAACATGGTTATGAAGTGCAATCACCACTTAGAATGTTACCAGATAAACATAAAAAATATAACATGATCTAAATACCCAGATGCATGAAACTATTATCAAGAGAAACAAAAGCAAAAATGAATTATTAGGTCTTTATCAACATAGAAAGCTGCACAGCAAAGGGAACAATCAACAAAACTAAAAGGCCATCTATAGAATGGGAGAAGATATTTACAAATGACAGATCTGATAAAGGGCTAGAATCCAAACTCTAAAAAGAATTTATCAGGGCGCCTGGGTGGCTTAGTCGGTTAAGCGTCCAACTTCAGCTCAAGTCATGATCTCACAGTTCATGGGTTCGAGCCCCATGTCCAGCTCTATGCTGACAGTTTCAGAGCCTGGAGCCTGCTTCATATTCTCTCTCTCTCTCTCTCTCTCTCTCTCTCCCCTTCCCCCACTCGCACTCTCTCTCTTCAAAATAAACACTAAAAAATTTTAAAAAATTGATCAAACTCAACACACAAAAAATAAATACTCCAGTTAAGAAATGGGCAAAAGACATGAATAGGCACTTCTCCAAAGACATGGCTAACAGACACGCTCATCACCAAGGAAATACAAATCAAAACCACAATGAGATACCACCTCACACCTGTCAGAATGGCTAAAATTAACAACTCAGGAAACAACAGATGTTGGCAAAAATGCAGAGAAAGACAAACTTTCTTAGTAAGCTGTTGATGGGAATCCAAACTGGTGTAGCCACTGTGGAATATGGGTGTGGAGTTTCCTCAGAAAGTTAAAGATAGAACTACACTACAACCCAGGAATTGCACTACTAGGTATTTATCCAAAGGATACAAAAAAACTGATTTGAAGGGGCACATTCACCCCAATGTAAACATATAGCAACACTATCAACAATAGACAAATTATGGAAAGAGCCCATATGTCCATCAACTGATGAATGGATAAAGATGTAGTGTCAAATGGAATATTACCCATCAAAAAGAATGAAATCTTGCCATTTGCAACAACGTGGATGGAACTAGAGTGTATTATGCTAAGTGAAATAAGTCAGTCACAGAAAGACAAATACCATATGATTTCACTCATATGTGGAATTTAAGAAACATAACAGATGAACATAGGGGAAGGGAAGGAAAAATAAAATAAGATAAAAACAGAGGCAAACCATAAGAGACTGTTAACTACAGAAAGGGTTACTGGAGGGGCGATGGGTACAGGGATGGACTAAATCGATATTGGGCATTAAGTAGGGCATTTGTGATGAGCACTGGGTTTTATATACTCCTAAGTGATGAATAACTAAATTCTACTCCTAAAACCAATAATACACTATATGTTAACTAACCTGAATTTAAATAACATCTTGGGGGGAAAAAAGAATGCTAATGATAATCAGGGTGCCTGGGTGGCTCAGTCAGTTAATCATTCGACTCCACTTCAGGTCATGACCTCACAGTCCATGAGTTCGAGCCCCACATCAGGCTCTGTGCTGACAGCTCAGAGCCTGGAGCCTGCTTCAGATTCTGTGTCTCCCTCTCTCTCTGCCCCCCCGCCCCCTGCTCATGCTCTATCTCTCTGTCTCAAAAATAAATAAAAAAACATTAAAAAAAATAATTGAAAAAAAAAGAATGCTAATGATAATCACAATTATTTCACAAGGTAAAGTCAAAAGGTACCACAGATGTCTTTCAATTTTTTATAATTTTTTTATAACTATGTTCCTCCTAGACTTTATTCCTTAGGCCACCCAAAGACTGAATTCATTTTGTCTATACTAGCTATGAATTTAGGGTTTGGGGCACATAGGTTTACCTTAATAATATATTTAATTCTAACAATAAACTACTGAATTTCTAAATACTTACTGTTCATTCCGCCTTTCCCAAGCTTTATAAATCCATTCTGGCTTCATAATTGGAGTGCCCAGACTCACAGCAATCTAAAAATATAGAGCATTAATTATGATAAATTTTCACCCTAAATAACTGCATTGATGGAAGTTCTAAGCAATTTTATACATACTTTTTTTTAGAGTTTTAGATTATTCATCTACTTTATGACAAAATATAAATAAAAATCAACAAAAAATTGTCTTTCAATTGTACAACTTAGGTTAAAATAATTTACAACAAGTTCCATGATGTCTAAACCATTTCCTTATTTTAAATAAATACAACTCTGAAGTTAAGTTTATTTTACTACATTTCTATTTCTCCTTTCTCTGTGTTTCCTTTCTCTGGGTTCCCTCCTTTTGGAAGTACTGACCCCCAAGACAACACAACAGAGGAAAATATCTAATTAAGTCACTAAAAACTAAGATATGAATTGAAAAGTATACCTCCCAAGAATTCATTATTACCCCAAAATTACCATTTGTTACATAAATACACTGATGGAGGGTGGGAACGTGATAAACTCTCCCTAAGATATTCAAGTGTAAACTTAAAGATTTTAATTCTAATAGAAGTAACTTCTCCCATTCTTTTATAGTTTTCACTAGTTAAATCTTAGAACTATTTTATAAGAATATAGCTCTGTTCTTATTAAGACCATTTAGACAAGAGTGAAATATCTGCTCAACACTTCCCAACTCTCATTCACCAATGCTCATTCACCAACCAACCTTTGTCTGAAATGTTACCCATCTACCAACCTCCACAATCCTACTCATTCACAAATCCTACTTATTTCAAGACCTAACTCAGGTTCCATTGCTTCCTTAAAATCGAAAGGACCACACTCCTACAATTTAAAATTTTTACTAAATGCATATGCAGCAAAAATTGAATTTCTGATCCTCAATAAATAATGGGAGAAACAGATAGGCTTAAATCCATCCCCCCAAAATGCTATATTGAAATACACCCAAGTTTACATACCCTGAATTTTTCTCCTTGTGTACAATTTGCCACCAAATGTGTAACTTTTGAATTAAAGTCTTTTCGAATAACTCCACCCATGTGATGAACCAATGTCACCAATCTGACCTCAAAAGAAAAATTAAGCAACATTAACTTTATGATTAACTTGAAAAAATTTTAAATTATGTTTAACATGAAATTGCAATGTGTAGGGGCGCCTGAGTGGCTCAGTCAATTAAGCATCCGACTTCAGCTCAGGTCATGATTTCACAGCTCCTGGGTTTGAGCCCTGTGTCGGCTCTTTGCTGACAGCTCAGAGCCTGGAGCCTGCTTCGAATTCTGTGTCTCCCTCTCTCTCTTCCCCTCCCCTGCTCATGCTCTGTCTCTCTCTCTCTCTCTCTCAAAAATAAACAGTTTTTTAAAAAATGTAAATGTTATTAAAAAAATAAATTACAATTTATAAACAAAAACTTCAAATAATGTAGCTGATATAATACTTAACAAAATGACAATTTGAACAGATGATAGTTATGAAGTATTTCTGTTCATTCATATGCCTGTCATCCTAAACAAAATGTTTCTTGGGGCGCCTGGGTGGCTCAGTCGGTTGGGCATCTGACTTCGGCCCAGGTCATGATCTCACGGTCCGTGGGTTCAAGCCCCGTGTTGGGCTCTGTGCTGACAGCTCAGAGCCTAGAGCATGCAGCCTCCTTCAGATTCTGTGTCTCCCTCTCCCTCTGTTCCTCCCCCACTCAAGCTCTGTCTCTCTCAAAAATAAATCAACGTTAAAAAAAAAAAAATTCAAAAGGTTTCTTTACAAGGGTCTTCAGAATGTTTCTTCACAAAATTTAAAACTTGTCCTTCAATATGTTTTAAATAAAACCATGATATAACCACCCACAAAAAAATGTCAGTTTAAACTTATTAGGCTAGGGGCGCCTGGGTGGCGCAGTCGGTTAGGCGTCCGGCTTCAGCCAGGTCACGATCTCGCGGTCCGTGAGTTCGAGCCCCGCGTCGGGCTCTGGGCTGATGGCTCAGAGCCTGGAGCCTGTTTCCGATTCTGTGTCTCCCTCTCTCTCTGCCCCTCCCCCGTTCATGCTCTGTCTCTCTCTGTCCAAAAATAAATAAACGTTGAAAAAAAAAAAAAAATTAAAAAAAAAAAATAAACTTATTAGGCTAGAAGAAATATTCCTTGAATAGAATGTTTTAAAATACTTACTAGTTCTTCTTTCTTCCTAAATCCAGTAAAGCACAGGACTAGGTTCATCATGCTTGTACAGTAGAGTGGACGACATGAGAATGGCAAAGGCTGAAGGATACAAGTTTTAAATCTGTCAGCTTTCTTTATAGTAGAGAACAAAACAAAACATGTTTCCCCAGCTAAATATATTTCCCCCTCCACTTTGTCAATCCAAATCAACTTTGTCAATCCAAAGATTTCTTGCATTTTTTGATACAAAACAAAAAAAAAAATTACAAGTTTTACAATAAAAACATTTCCCAGGATTCCAAAATCATATTTGACACACATAATCTAAATACTTTACTAATGGCAAATTAAAATATATTTACGTGCAAACCTCCAGTTTTAAAATATACCTTGACATATTTAAAGTCTTATCTACTAGCAAAAATTTCAGACTCCATCCACTATTGTAAAAATTTCCAATTAGAGTTAAAATAGTTCAAAGATATTTTATAATGAACACTAGGCAAATGACATATATTTGAATCAAATGTTCCAATTTTTGAGCTAAAAAAAATGAAAATAGTAAATAATTTAACCAATGGAGATATGTGTGTGTGTGTGTGTGTGTGTGTGTGTATAATAGAAAGAGAATGGATATTGTGGGCACCTGGGTTATCCATTAGTTTCCGATCGACCTCGGCTCAGGTCATGATCTCACGGTTCGTGGGTTCAAGCCCCGCGTCGGGCTGTGTGTTGACAGGACTGGGCCTGCTTCAGATTCAGTGTGTGTGTGTGTGTGTTGTGTCTCTCCCCCCCCCCCAGACTGATGCTCTGTCTCTCTCTCTCAAAAATTAAATAAGCGTTAAAAAAAATTATTTTAAAAAAATGTATAATATATAATTCACCATTATACAAGATTATTTCCCTATTGGTCTTTAAAAAGTTTGATTTTTGAAACGCCACTTTTTTTTTTAAGCTTATTTATTTTGAAGAGAGAAGAGAAGCACACCTACTAGAAACGCTAGAGTGAGCAGGTGAGGGGCAAAGAAAGGGAGAGAGAGAGTCCCAGTACTTCCACTGTGCGCCTAGGCCCAACATGGGACTTTTCAATCTCACGAAGCCATGAGATGGAGACCTGAGGCTAAGTCAGTAACCACGCAGAGCCCCTGGTGCGATCAGAATGGGACTAACTTTATTACAACTCACGCCTGAAATGTTATTTATAAACAAAAAAGTGGGTGAGGGCTGAAGGGGTGAGGAGGCACCTGGGGCATTGGCTCCAGTCCACTACTTTCACCTGACTCTTGATTTTTGCGGGTCATGATCTGATGAGTTTGTGGCTTTCATCAGCTATATGTGAGGGCTCTGCTCTGACCAAGCAGAGCCCTGAACTTGGAATTCTCTCCCCTTGTCCCTCCCACAAATGTATTTAAAAAAAACAAAACACCAAAAAGCTGGGTGCCTGACTGGCTCAGTTGGAGAAGCATGTGATACTTGATCTTGGGGCGAAGTTCAAGCCACTATGCTGGAGTATAATACTTAGAAATAAAAGTTACAACCCAATATAAAACAAACAAACAAAAGCTAAAATTTTTAAACCATGCGTAACTAATAAAAAATGGAATGTGTACGTTTCTATGAAGAAAATAAGTTACAGTGTTATGATCATAGTTTCCTGGAAGACCAAGTTTAAAAATTATTTCTTCCCAAACATGCTGGTATATATACACACAAATATCTAGTTGTTATTAAACTTTCTAAAGTCTTAGATTTTTCTCAACAGGTTCATAATAGAAAGATTTAAGGACTATAATAAAGTAGCCACTATTCCCTAAAAGTATTACATCCCACACAATTAATAGGATTTTCTGCTCATGAATTTTCAGAAAATTGGTATATGTAAGAATTAACCTTGAAAGTGTCATGAAAATATTGTACTGTTTCCCTTTTTTGGGCAGGTTTAAGATAACTGGTATTAGGCTGACAATAATTCTAAATCAGTCTTGTATAACTCATTAAAAAGCAAGTCCTGGAATCCACTGAAGGAATACATTTTTTGTTCTGAGAATCCAAACTTTCAAGTTCTTCCACTGAGTTCCACTACTACAAAGAGGTACTTTAATTTCCTTGATTTTTTCAGGTGGTTATTAGAAAAAAATTATTTATATGATTATAAAGTTGAATTCAAAATAACTCTAAAAACCAGTTCAACATTTTTATTTTTTATATTTGCTTAGTAAGGACTAGAAATCACACAGTGAGCATACTTAATAGTAAACAGACCTGTATTTCATTACTTATTTGTATTTTACATATGCTACTCCATCCATATTGTCAGTATTAATTTGAATAATATCATAAGGCATAACTTTAATGTGACTTAGGTCATTATAAATCCACCTACAATGCACATAAAAATTAAAATGATTTTTAAGTATATACATTTTGACACAAGATGCATTAAAATACATCCACTATGAAGTAACCTGGGTGGTATGAAGGAGTATAAGCGTCGACTTCAAGCCAGGTCTGATCTGCGGCGATGAGTTCAAGACCGGTCGGTCTGGGCTGATGGCTCAGAGCCTGGAGCCTGTTTCGATTTGTTCTTCCTCTCTCTCTGCCCCTCCCGTTCATCGCTCTGTCTCTCTCTGTCCCAAAATAAATAGCGTTGAAAAAAAAATTTAAAAAAAAAAAGAAATACATCCACTATTACTTTTTTTATTCTCACTCAAGAAAAATGATGCCACACTTGAGTTCTTCCTACATAATTATCTTCACAAAAAATAGGATACTATGGCAACCGCCTGCTAAAGGGGGCACCTGGGTGGCTCAGTCAGTTAAACATCAGCTTGACTCCAGGTCATGATCTCTCATGGCTTGTGAGTTTGAGCCCCACATCAGGCTCTTTAGCATAGGCTGAGCCTGGAGCCTCTTGATTCTGTGTCTTTCTCTCTCTCTCTCTCTCTGCCCTCCCCTTCACACTGTCTCTCAAAATAAACAAACATTAAAATTTTTTTAATCTACAAAAGCAGGTGCAGATTAACCAATCATTTCAGTATATGAAGAGAAATAGAAAAAATTGAAATATGTTGGCAGTTGCCACACAGACAATCTGTAGGATATAAAGGCAAGTTACCATTTAAGCATAAATTTTATAATGTGCATTTTACAAAAAAGAATGAAGGTATTAAGGTACCTGCATGACTCCGTGCAAAAAAGAACAGAACCATTTCATTTTTTTAACACTTTTTAATGTTTTTATTTATTTTTGAAGGAGAGAAGCAAGCAGTGGGAGGAGCAGAGAGGCACACAGAATCAAAACAGGGACTCAAGCTCCAAGCTGTTAGCACAGAGCCCGACACGGGCTCGAACTCACGAACATGTAGATCATGGCCATTAACCCTTGACTGAGCCACCAGCAAAAAGAACAGAACCATTTAAAGAAAATTCTGAAAAGAAGTCAGTAAATTGTTTTGGGTTTTATTGCTAGGCTGATGTGATGAACTGAATTGTGTATCCTCAAGGCAGCCCTAAACCATCATGGCCAGCTAACCCCATACCTCAAAATGGGACTATGTTGGATAGAGGCCTTAAGGGGTAATTAAGATTAAATAATCGCAGATGCATTGGTGAATCTTAATCAAATCTAGGATTGGTACTTTAAGAGAAGACTTGGACACTACCAAGGAGGTATCCAAGGGATGTGCACGAAAGGCCATGTAAAGAAAGACATAGTAAAAAAGCAGAAACATCTGCAAGCCAAGGGAAAAGAGGTCAAGAGAGATCAAGGACGTCAAATCTTGATCTTAGACTTCTACCTCAGAACTTTGAGAAAATACACTTTCATTTCTGTGAATAAACCATCTCCAGATCTGTTTTGTTACCACAGCCCTCACAAAAATAGATAACTGCTAATACAGAATTGATATATTTCATATGCTGGGACAAATTCCCTGATGGGATGCATTATCATGATTTATAATTTGGAAATAAAGCAAAATTTTGATAAAATAAAAATTAATGGAAAAAAAAAAAAAAAGACCAAAGGGGTTTAAGAAAGAAAACATGAATCTTTGTAGATACATATGATGTGACTTTTAAATTTAACAAGACAAGTAAATGAGTTTTGCTACTTATGAAACATATACTATAGTTGGGGTTTCAGAACTCATCCAAATTTTAAAAAAATAATAAAGTTTCTATTCCTCTGCCGAATGCACAAAATAACTTCTCTTGTGAACCTTGCAATTTGCGGTCCAATCACCGATTAGTGGAATATAAGAACACAATCAAGTAGTGCAGCTATGACCTACATGCAATGAAATGTTTGACACATATTAACAACACTTTTTATTAATTTTTCATCCAGATTTTCAGGGACAACTTTCTCTATCTTTACTATTAAGGGACTTCCATTATTTTAATAGTCTGTGGAAAAGAGACTTAAATATGATTAAAGAAAACCTATAAAATTTTTAAACAGCTGATGGAAGAAAAAATTGACCTTTTTTTTTAAAAAAGCTAAAACTCCATACCTTTAAAGCTTGTATAAGTTCTTGCTTGTTTTCCAGCTTCTTGAACCAATATCATTTTTCAATTTGAGGCATTTCTTCTATTAAAATCAAAAATGATTTTAAATATGTTTTATCAGGTAACAACAAAATTAGCAGTTCTAATCCCTTTTGGCTATATCTGGCATGTTTTCCATCTAGGAGATCATAATATTCTCTCTAGATCAAAATAGACTTAATTCTAGTTTATTTTACAAATTTGACTCATCTATCACTTTAGAGAAAGAAAACACACTGTAGTTAGATACAACGTAGCACCCTCCCTAATCAAAAAAAAGCATTCACTATCTTGCACAGCTCCTCTTCAACAGTGGATGGCTGCTTCAGGTTATCGACCCCAAAAGGCGGTTAAGTGAAGAGTGGCTCTTCACCTGACGGTCATACTGAATAAATTCAACCAACAGTGTTGCAGCACATTGCCTCATAAGCAAGAAAAAAGCAATATTGAACAATAGATGCTTTCTCCTTCAAAGTTGGAAGCATTAATCCAAACAATAACCAAAAATCTACACAGTATATATAAATGGCTAAGAGGCTCAACAAAACAAG